GTACATTCTGTCCGAGGTCTGTATAATAGCTCTGTTTTACCGCAGATAGATAGTTCTGATAGTTCTGTTATACCGCAGAAGTGATGTAAAAAGTGTAAAAGGATGGTATTTGCCGGCATGAATTTGTAAAGAATAAAAGTTGTAGCGAACACAAAAAATCCGGCCTGATTTCTCATTTTAGCCTTCCCTTTAGACAGAGAGATATATCCAATGAATTCAATAACGTAAAAATTGGTTGCCGCCAAGGGCTGTCGTGTCTTATAACCGGCCTTTATAGCATAAAATTATATTTCGGGGATGTCCAAAAACTCGATGTAAGATTTTTTTTCATCCTTGGACTGTAAATTATTTTTTTCTAAAATCACCTAGCCCACCCCCTCAAAAGTCATATCAATCTCCCCTAAAGTTAACTGATGGGTCAATTTATTGTTTGATTTAAATTATAAATTTATTAACTGGAGCTTCGCTTTTAGCCCTGGATAAATCCATTCAGCATATACTAAAACAGTAGATAGTGTTTTTCGCGCGCTCTGATTGGCTACTCAACCCCCAGATATCCAGTGCTATTCACTGATTCACCTCCAGTTCCTCCGAGCGAGCGACGCCAAACTCGCGTAAGTTAGGTGTAGAATGGCTCCCCGGTTTGCTGCCGTAACAAACAAAGAAATTTTACAAATAATCAAAGCAACTGTTCCCGAAATACACGAAGGTGACAAAATTCGGTTTAGAAGTTTTAACACGACGTATAGCTTTGTCTGTTTGACTTGAATTTATCGATGAAACGGTGAAAAAGTTTTTTTGTTTACAAGTGCAAATTAAGCTTAAGTCTTGCGTTACGTTATTTAGCTGAATCGTTCATAAATAAGCTTAAAACTAAATTTAATAGTTTTTTTTACAGAATGGTTGTAAATACAAAGAGAATTCACAACTCCTTTTGCCGAAATTTCCCCGAAAGAGCTAATCAAATGCCTTCAAAGCCTTCAAAAGTTTTTTTTGTCGGCAAGAAAACGCGACGGTCATTCGGTCATTGCGCGCCAAAATTGTCATCGATGCTGAACAGTAAATGAGTTAACAATCATCTTTTTTGTGGTCAATGATGTCACCGTTGTAGTTTGTACTAAAAAACAATTATTCATCTCAGTGTCGGTGGTTAGTGGTGGGTATTTACCACTAGCCACCTCCACTTCGGTGAATAATTGTTATATAATATCCAACGGGAGCCTTATCAGAATACAAATTATTACGAGACGTTTGTCAACAAACACCTATTATCAAGCCAAAAAGGCAAATCTTGGAGAGCACAAGATTAATTTTTACCATAGTCGCTGTTGTATTTTTTAACTTACTAATCACTCAATAAAACTAATTTCCCTGTCAGTAATGCAGTTACCGCAGAAAATATCATGACTCTCAGTATTAAAGTTCCGATTGAGAGATACCATACACATACCTGCAATTTCCGAGAGAAGCTCTTGACAAGCTCTGTATTCTTCTTTTTTGATGGTTGTCGTAAGTTTTACTTCAACAAGACCAAATTCCTCGAGAATTTCCTCTGTCACAAGGAATTTCTGTACCATTTTATTGAGGTTACCTGTGCGGTAGTCTTCCCAGAGTCCTTCAAGGATCTCAAGGGAGCTGCATTCTACCTTGACTATTAAACTTCCAGTAGTAACATCAACAATTAATGCTTTACGCACTTTTTCGATGTAGCGAACAAACCCGTTAAACTCTTCTGGTGTTGATAGATCAACTTTCCGCAAGTACTTAAACGCAATTAAACGAAGAATTTCCTGTGGTGAGGGGACAGCTCCGTTTTCGTCTTTTTCCTGCCCAGAACCAGAAGTAAGCTCCACTTGGGGCGTTCCTGAGTTGCCACGTTTTGCTGCTGCCCCCTGGACTTCTTCCTGGGATTCAACTTGGGCAAACATTTTATCTAGTGGATCTGCTGTGGCCACATGTTGCCATTGATTTGAGGTAGATGATACACATGAAGTTTCCCGGGATTCCAGTCTTATAGCCCTGCCTGGTCTACGATCTACCAATTCTTTACAACAAATCCTCAGATGAAGACAAGCTGTTGATAAAAAAAACACTCTTGAAATAACAGTTGGTCTGCATACTTATGTCACAAAGCAAGTATCCTAACCACGGTATGCTTAACACGTCTTAATTGTTATTCTCATAATTGTTATTAACATAACCCGATTGCAGTATGATATTTTTAAAACTTGTAACAATTTGTTGCTTTTCTAGTCCTTTTTTACAAACACTTTTTTAATATTTTTTTAGGAAGTGGTAATAACACCCAATGCAAATTTTTGATCGCAAAGGGGCTATGGAAAATAATGCTTAAACTAAAAAAACCATTATTTTAAGCATTATTCATATAAAGTTGACTAACGTCCATTTTAAACGGAATGATTCGCAACGACTATTTTCAGAGCGATGCAACATTTTATCGAGCTGTCACAACATATTGCCAACAACGTTGCCCTAAAAACACATAGTCTCGTAGAACATCACCTTAGGGCCATTCCTCTGCACCTCTAATGTGCATTTTTCCAAGATGGCGGCAGTCGCCCTGGAAGTGACAGGCTATTTTCAAAGTTTGAAGAGTTTTACAAAACGAAATGATTTAGAAATACGCCTTAAGGGAAACGTTTTGAAAGGCGATAAATCAGGACAGTATGTTAACGCAGTTGAAAGTGTACCGAAGACTTGTGAGTTATGAGGAACGACACTTATGAAAGAAGAAACGTAGATGTAAGCTTCGGTTGTCAACATATTTCGAGTGAACAAATCTCAGCTTGAAAAAAGATTTACGAGAATACCTGGCCGGGGCTCAGGCCTGCCTTCCCTCCACCGAGAAGCTTTCGGCCAGCAGCCTCTTGTTTTTGAGGAGCTCTGGGAATTTGAAAAATCACCTGTAAAGGTAAAATAGATGGCAACAGATTTTTACAGTTAACCCAAAAGATAATTATAGAAGTGAATTGTGGATGAGCCATATGACAGATGATTACGAGTTACAGTCGACTCTCTCTTAACGGACACCTCTATAAGAAGGACACCTCTGTAAAACAGACACCTAGAGTTGGTCCCTGCCTTTCTTGACTCCTTTTATTTGACTCTCTATAAGACGGACACCTCTCTAAGACGGACACTTAGTGACGGTCCCAAAAGACGCCCGTTTTAGAGGGAGTTGACTGTAGGTATCTTCAAACCTCGAGACATATAAATGAAGCTGACCCACTATCTAAGCTATGCATGACAAAAAATAGGGGTCCATCTTATAAAAGAGACAACGTTTGTTTCTATTCCGCAGAATTTAAAACTGCCAGCCTGCTCTGAACTGTGATTATTTCTGACCTGTAAAACAAAATTTATCCAAAAAATTACACTTGCCACATTTCGTACGACTTTTTTTATGTTTGTTAAGTTTTTATTATATTACTGGAAAGATTTTCTTAAGTTTGAATCATGAAAAAGAGAGAGAGAGAGAAAGAGAGAAACCCATACCGTGGACCCAGCTGATCATCTTGTTAATAAGAACTTCTATTTGCTCTCCCCATTTGTACTTCCTGTCATACGAATAACGCAAGGTTTCCGCTTCCTCAAGTCGGCAATCCCAGTCCTTCGCACAGATTTTCTCAATGGCTGAGGTCCAGTCTGCGGGGTCATCCGAGGTAATCACAAATAATGAACCATAGGGCAGATTGCACAGAGCTTCTCCAAAACCCGAGTTGCCACTGACGAGCACAGGAAGACCAGCTGACAGGGCCTCAAGTCCTGTCAACCCAAAGCCTTCTGATCTCGAAGGCATCACCAAAAGACTTACTTCTTGAAACAAGCGCTTCAAACTCTCTCGATCCTGAACAAATCCTCTTACTCTCAAGCGATTTGCAGGAACACCACATTCGGTGAACCGTTTCGCTATTTCCTCACGCTCTCCATCTGGGGCGCCAACAAACATAAGGCGAGTATCTTGTAATGCAGCAACCGCTTTCCCAGCGATGTCAAATCCTTTTAATTCGAAATCTTCTTTGTCTCCACGACCAAACAACAACACAATGAGCTGCCTTCCTATACTGGGAACCGAGTGCTTTACATCCGCAAACTCTTCAAATATTCCTGGAGTGAAGTGAAAGACATCATCATGTTTAGGACAGCCGCAAAGATACGAACGAAAGGCCTCGCTCAATTTAGACCCAACGCCTACAACGAAATCCGCCATCTCACACAGTTCTACTTCGGTCTTGTGCTTTTCTTCGCCCCTTTGAATTGGGTTGGAATAGCTTTTAAACATTCCAAGTTCCTCAGGGTCTGTGTGTACCACTTGAACCCATTTGCAATCTTTATGTTCTTTAATGATTTGTGCTTGTTTACCGAGTTTAACTCCATGGCCCACGATAATGTCAATTTGCAAATCTTCTGGCGCAAAGCAAAGCCAAGTCAGATGTTCGAAGCCAGGCCGTGGTTTTGCCTCCACGATCTTCACATTGTGTTGATGAGCTTCCTCCTTGTCCTCTTGACTGCATTTTGGTAAATAGAAAGTGATCTCCACTTCAGGGCATTTGGCTAACTGGATTGCTAACTCTCTGTTTAAGGTAGACAGCCCTCCTTTGCTTGATCCCCATTCAGAGGCCAAAATAGTTACTTTTACCTTTACCATCGGTCGTCATCCGTGTGTGTCTGAGCTTTGCGAAAAACAGAAGCGATTGCCAAATATCAAAGCTTTCAAACATCTGCAAATAAACGTGAAACATAGAAATCTTTTTATGACCCCTAAATGGCTCACCGCTGGGGTATTGAGAATCAGATAATCATTTATGAAGCGTGTTTCTCTTAAACGTTTTCGGCCGAGAGGCTTCGTTCTGCCACAAGTTTTGGAAACGCTGAACTTGCTCAGCTGTTGAGAGACAGACCTCTTAGGGAGTTGTAACAAAAAACATCTCTTGCCTGAAGCCAACGCGTTAAATCAAATCTACGTAAGACCTCAGAGAGTAATTAAATTGATTGCGGGAAAGGCTGGTTATTAATTTTACCAGAAATAACATTCGACATTTTGTGCAACGTTTAACAATTGTACTCGCTTTACACGATAGGAGTAGCCCAAACACTGCTTTGTAATAACGGTACCACTACATAAACCTCTGCACGCTGATTAAACAACTTTTCGGTCATGAAAACCGGGAAACGAGATTAATTTATGGTCTGTTGCCCAAACAGCTTCGTTCAGTCTTCTCGATCAGCAAAATTCTTCACATAATGCTTGATTCAAAAATTGCTAAATATACTATCGATCAACCTCGTTTCTAGGTGCGGCAGTCTAGCTGACCCCCCTCCCCTTTCCATGCTACCCGAGAACTTCTGCAGTGAGAAATTTCTCTGTGCGTGAAAGTAAAAACAAACCAGAAGAAAGAAATGGAAAACTAACGGGTAATATATTTCCTCGCGAAGAGAGTTTATAATCTCGCCGAGCGCGAAGCGTGCACAACCGCGCGTGGTCTTACCGAACTGCAAAATCGGATGCCCCATATTTTTCCTACTGCCCTCACGTCATGCAGTTAACGTCACGGAGCATTTTGTGTTTCCAGGCAACATAATTGATCGTCTGCGAAGCAACGTTTACTGTCTGTGAATCGCGAGTACTTTCTCATGAAATGACACACAACAGCAAGCACAGCAACGCTGGATTAAGTCGATTAACAAAGTGGCTGGAAATCCTCGCCGGGACGACTTTCCACCAAAACTCTTCCGAAATCACGGAGAGTGACCCCATAAGCTGCATAGCTTTTAAAAATTATCGTGCTAAAATAAAGGCTATCTATCTGTCTGTGTCTGTCTGAGCACAAAGAACATCGCGGCAACGCCGTCAACGCTAGACAGAGGAGACAAACATGTACAGAGGCAGTGACAAAATACCACAATTACAGTGCAAACGAAACCGAGGAAGAGATGGAACACCGACTGCAGACGCGTCGAGAAAGTGCCGCCAACAGAATTCGCAACGAAACCGATGAATAGAGGAAAATCTTTCTAACGGACTAACAGGTGGCCCAAGCGTAATATGAGAGTTTGTATGGGAAAAATAGAGTTTGAAACTTAGATGAAATAAATGAAGTAAAAGCGATAAAAGTTACCCATAAAGTGTAAATATTGTTACCTGGAGTCGTTGTCTTTGTTTTTACGAAGTTTCAGCGCGATTTGAGTACTTTTACATCAGGTCAGATGATGAAGCGAAAAAAAGTTTTCAACTCAAAAACTTTTTCAAATTTAAGTGCTTGCGCGCGAAAAGCAAAACATCTTGACTTCACAACCATCTTTACATACTCTCATGTAAACACGCCTCTGGGCCAATCAGAGCGCGAGTTATCTTAGTTATTTTATAAAATGTATTTGTTATATTCCTAGACTTTCACTCAACTCAACAGGGACTGCCATTGGATGATTCTTGGTCACATGGCCTTAACAAATTAACAATTATTCCTCGGCCCCGAATGGGCCATTGACTAGTCTGTCAAAGATATCGAGACAAAACAATTTTGGCTAGTTAAAGCTCGACTTTAATCCCTTTTTGCCGCCAAAAAGCCGGCGCTTTTGGCTACTAGTGGGCCATAACATATAGCCTAGTAGTAGCTCAACCAATCAGAATGCAGCATTGATAATAGACCAGTAGTTGGATTTTACTATTAAAATCAAGGTTGCATTCCTTTTAGCCAAACTTTTTTCGGATTTAGAGATTGTTTGGATTTTCGTGCTAGATGGAACAAAAATCTGAAATAAGATTGATCCACAGTAACTGCCTGCTGCTCTGATCTTATTCTCAATTTCAACACATCGTTTTTTATTTCTTTCC